GACGTGCGCGCGGTTCCGGGGGGCGCGGCGGAAGGTGCCCCGGATCGCCAACCCCTGGAGGAGCCCCTCCGGTAAGGACCGCGCTGGGGGGCCAGGAGGAGCCAGGCTGGGCTGGGCCAGGCCCTCCCGCACCAGCCCGCTGGGGCGAGGGGGTCTGCATGCCACAGCCAGGGGTCCAGCCTGGCCCCCCGTCCGGCTTGTGCCACCGTCCCATTATAGATGCTTGCGTCCCATCATATGTGCCCCCCTGTCCCATCATAGATGTGTTCATCCCATCATAGCATCCTCTGTCCCGTCAAAGACACCTTCATCCCGTCATACGTGCCTCCCATCCCATCATAGACACCTTCATCCCATCAAACGCCCCCCCCCTTTCCATCAGACACCTTCATCCTGTCGTACATGCCCCCTGTCCCACCACAGACACCTTCGTCCCATCACACGTGCTCCTGTCCCCTCATAGATGCCTGCATCCCATCATATGCAACCCCATCCCGTCATAGACCCATGTGTCCCATTGTACATGACTCCATCCCATCATAGATGCCTTTGTCTCATCATGTGTGCCCCTCTCGCTGGCATGTGTCCCTCATCCTGTCACAGACACCGTCATCCCGTTGTATATGCTCCTGTCACATCAGAGACACTTTTGTCCCATCATATGTGCCCCCTCTGCCCCGTGTCCCATCATATGTGCTGCTGTGCCCCCAGCATAGATGCCTTCATCCCCTTGCATGTGCCTGCATCCTGTCGTAGACGCCTGTGTCCCGTTATGCATGCCCCCCTCACCCTCATGTGTGCCCCTCATCCCATCACAGGTGCCTTCATCCTGTCATACGTGACCCTGTCCCATCATAGACACAAGTGTCCCAATGTACGTGGCCCTGTCCTGTCATAGATGCCTTTATCCTGTCCTATGTGCCCCTCTCCCTGGTGCGCGTCTCTTGTCCCATGATAGATGCCTTTGTCCCGTCATGCATGCCCCCCGTCCCATCACAGACACCTTCATCCCATCATATGCACCCCGTGTCCCATCACAGACACCTTCATCCCATCATATATGCCCCCATCCCGTCAAAGATGCCTTTGTCCCATCGTATGCACCTCCTGTCCCATCATGGATGCCTTTGTCCCATTATACGCACGCCGCACCCTGCTGTGCACCCCCTGTCCTGTATACACACCTTCATCCCGTCGTGCAGACCTTCATCCCATCACACGCACCCCCC